CTTGTATAACTGATCAACCCTTCGTATAGTAACATTCATAGTATTGACAAAAATGATACTTGCTCGACTACTTACATCAGGTTTTCGATAATAGCTTGTTCGGTTAATTCTAGCAATCTGTTCTAATCTTTTTACACGATTATCTAATAAATTTAACAATTTACGAAGTTCATCACAATTACAACAATTACTTGTTGTCGGTGGTTCTAAACAATATAAGATGAAATTCAGTTGTGTCTCTTATTGAAAGAAGATAAAAAAAAATTATGTTGTGTATGTTTACCAGATGACGTTTTCGACTGTTTGACATGTCTTTGATATTCCCGTTTTTTTATTTTATCGAAATTAATCTCGTTTTGTAACAGTTTTTCATTTTTTTGTTTGATATCAAAACTCTTAGTACGTGTACAATAGAAAAACGGATACGAAATCAAATAAACACTTAACAAGCAATAAACGTTGTTTAACAACTACATTACCACTAATACTTCCATTATCATCAGCATCGCTTTGATTATGTGTATCGCTAACAGAACTGACTGTGTCATGTGAACGCTTTTTACCACGTGAATGTATACCTGGATTAAATAAACCATTATTCATTTTTTCATAGGTGATTGTACTATTTGTTTCACTATTGTTCAATAGAAGAAAAGAAGATGATTTTCTCTTATAAATTAAATCAAAAAACAAGCCACTCTTAACACACCTAAAGCTTTGGGTGCATTTCCTAATGCAAGATTCATATAATCATGGTCTGTTTTGGGGGATAACCTTGTTCACTATATGGATAAAAAACTTGTTTCTTAATTAATGTTCCATGTATTTTACAATCAGAACAAGCATTGTACCCATTGAACTGTATTATATTGGCGTGTAATGCTAATGCTGGTAAATCAAATGTTGCCCATTGACAACGAACACTAAACAACTGTTCAGAAAAAGTAAACGAATAAAATTTATAAAAATCTTTTTAATGGCATATTCGATAGAACACGTTTGAATCCAAATACTTGTTGATTCATTGATTCTCTTTTGGGAAACACATAGTAAGCTAAAAAACTTGACAGCAAGTTGCCTAAACTAGCTTTCCATATAATTTGAGCAC